GTTGAAGTCCACTCATCTTAAAGTGGCCAAGTTTGGACAACACTGATCTAGGTCCTTCAATTTCACTCTTCTGCTCTTGCAAACTAGCTTGGTGCTAACTAAGTCCAAGAGGGGAAGGGGGTCCGGAAACAAATGAACCAGGAACAAGATGGCAAATGGTTCATCTGACCCCTTTCAGGATGGCCGTCCCCCTGATACAGAGAGGCAGGTAACCGCCTCAGCTCCTTTCGACCTTCCTGTAGGTAGAAGCTAGTCGGTGGGAAAAACCTTCCATCGGCAGGGAGACTTCAGGATCTGGCAAGGGATTTCAACTGAATGCATTCACGCAACGTGACGCCATTATGCAGAGGAGGCAAATTACATCATCTGCGTGGAGGTGCCACGATGCACGTGATCTCATCTGTCCACCAACCCAGGCATTTTCTTTACTCCCTTTTCCAAAAGTACCAGTGGCAAAAGCTTGCATTTTAAGGGAAGTGGCAAGGTTCAGATCGGGGGCCTGTAATTTCGTTCCATTTTAAATGGGTGTAAACTCCACATTCCACTCCTGTTGCTGTGTGTAGGCTCTCTATTTTGTCCAGTGTGTGTGTGTGGGGGGGGTTTCCTTTATCCACCCTGTCCCACCAGAAAATATACATTCATGAAAGAAAGAAGCACATGAAATGCATGTACAGTAGATCTGCTTGTTTGCAAGAAAGCCCCTGAAGACCACAGAAAGGGGAGCTAGGACCAGTGTGAAAATTTCATGCAGGGCAGGAAGAGGGAAGGCAGTAGTGTACAATGAAAGAATGCATGTTTTTGTTTTAAGGGAGGATCCCGTTCTTTAACTATCTTTTCTTTTTCTGTGTTGCACAGGCTGGGATGTGAATAGCATGGCGTACGCACAGCCAGGTAAGGCCTAGTTCTGCTGTAGGGAAGGCACCATTTCGATAGGTCAGGAAGGACGATACCAGAGGGTTTCCAGCCTGGGTGTAGATCAGCAGCCATTTCAGCAGGCTAAAATCTCACCAGTGAGCTCTTAGATGGAAAAGTGAAAGTCATCCACGGGAGGTCGAATCCAGCCATGTTTTAATGCTCCAACAGCTGAACAGCATAATGTTGAAGACACTCCATTTCCAAGAGCAGTTTGTCATCCAAACCCTCTGGGGGAGATGGGCAGCATACAGCTTTAATAAATAAAATAAAATAAAATAAAATAAAATAAAATAAAATAAAATAAAAAAATCCATCTGGACCAGTGTTTTTCAAACTT